GTGTGTGTGTGTGTGTGTGTGTGTGTGTGTGTGTGTGTGTGTGTGTGTGTGTGTGTGTGTGTGTGTGTGTGTGTGCGTGGGTGCGTGGGTGCGTGGGTGCGTGCGTGCGTGGGTGTGTGTGTGGGTGTTCATCATGCAAATGTGTATCTTTCCCATCGCATTTCTCCTGCATATGAATGCACACCTGTCTATCTTAGGATTCATTAGGACATAGACTATCAGTAATTTTATTTGTAAGTCAGGCAAATCTAATGTAATTTTGTACATTTGATTCCAAGTATCTCTCTGTCGTTTCATCTATCTGATTACATTTGTCTTCGTGACTTTTGTGCAGACCTCTTTAGATGCATGTGCACTTTATTTTTTGTAATTTGTTTCTTTTCATTCAGACTTACTGACCTGGCTGCATTCCACCAGTACATCAGCCAAAACTTCAATCTGACGCACAGAAACACATGGATCAGCTTCGGAGGCTCATACTCTGGAGCTCTATCAGCCTGGTTCAGAGGAAAGGTACAGGACATGGTTTACATATGGAAGCATTCAAAGATGCATAAGGCTTCAAACTTTAAAATACAGCACCTCACAATCTTTAAAAATGAATCCTATAAAAGACAGAGAAAGATTTTAGAGCTTATTGACTGTTCTTCTGGAACAACACTTCTTATTCCTGATACTGTGACTGAGATATTTGTTCTATATCATTTTACAAAAACAGATCAGAGCAACATATTTGTATTTCATACTGACAGGAAAGATCTAGTTTAGGGAAAAACACAGCGCGAGTCATTTGTTTCCGAAGAACTGTAGACAGGCAATAATTCATAGATGCTCTTCTGTTTATACCCTGAGGAGATAAGAAAGTACTGAATCTCATCTTACTATATGAATGTATCACTTGCTTTTTTTTTTTACTTACATTTTCAAGTCCACAAACTAAAAGAAGATGATTCTTTAAGTGAATACTTGTGGTTACTCTTGTGCAATGATTTTCTAGACAAAGAGTTAATCAGTACCCTTTCTGAGGTCATGACGTTACTATGCTACCTCTATGGTTTTGTTAGTAAATCCCATAAAAAGACTAAAATCAGCTACATTATGAAGAAGTGTTCCCCACTTTCAGATTTCTTAACATATCTTTCACATGTTGAATTGCATATTTTAGATAATCAAACTAATTTTAATATTAGCCAAATATAAGCAGAGTACATACAAAATGCAGTATTTTAAATAGTGATTTCAGGTAATACGGGGGGGGGGGGCTCACCAAAGCTTTTCTGGACTTTACCAGAAAATCCTGAAGGAGAATGTCTGGCCGTCAGGGTTTGGAGTGGCCTAGTCAAAGTCCAGAATCATGATGTTTGGCATGACCTTAAAGAGGCCGTTCATGCTCAAAAATCCTCCAGTTCCTCCAAAGTGATGTGAAAGACTCATATTATTAGTTATCAAAAACATTTGATTGCAGTTCTTGCTGCCAAAGGTGGCACAACCAGTTATTAGTTTTAGTGGGCAATTACCTTTTAAAAAGAGGATCATGTAGGTCTGGATAGCTTTTAATACACTAAAAAAAAACTACTTCTTAAAAGCACTTAACCAATAAATAAATATTCAAAACTGCAATTTTGTATTTACTCTGGTTATCTTTGTTTAATATTAGAATTTCTTTGATGATCTGACACTTGCAAATGTGAGAAATATGCAAAAGAAATAAGAAATCAGGAAGGAGCATATATTCATATATATCGAAGTACATCGATTGCTGCTTCCACTCTTCACAGCCTGCATGCAGCTCTCCATGAATTCATTCCCAAAGAAAGATGAAGTCTTTAAGTGGTGTTTGGTAAAGAAGATTTTAGGAAATACTTTTAGAACATCTGAGGATGAAGCCACTTTCAAGTATGGATTTGACTGCTGCATTAGTCCCTGTATAGCAAAAGCAAGGAGCTAAACCAAGCTCAGTCACCATATTAAGCGGAGTCATGTGTTAGGTAGTGTAACGGTGTGGAGAGGAATGTTACATGTTAAGTTTGGATATAAAGACATGTATAGATTATCGGGTTGTTAACATTGATCTTCATGTTTTACAAAAATCATGTAAACTCAACAGAAATATATTAATTGTTTTTGTGTGTCTTCTCTCGCTCTGTACTGCAGTTTCCCAATCTGGTGTATGGAGCTGTGGCCTCCTCTGCTCCAGTCAAGGCAAAGCTGGACTTTTCTGAGTATAACAACGTAATACGACACAAACCATGGTCACAGGATTTAATATCACCATTCATTTAATTATTATTGATTTCTTTGTGTTTTCATCGCTGACTCTCATGGGCTGAATGTGTTTTTCACCATCAAAGAAGTAACTGTGATCAAGTCCAGTTTTTCCCTTCTGATGTCAGTACACCACAAAGGTTCCTCCATAACCAGAACTTGACCTTAGGTTCCTCTGTTGTACCTACATCCCTCCAAACAACTAAGGTGTCTACTGAAGTTCATTTCCTTTTGAAACACATATCTGCCCTTTCCTCTATTTCAGGTTGTTGGCTTGAGCCTGTTGAATGAGGCAGTTGGTGGCTCAGAGAAGGTGAGAAGTCTGCCACCATCTGTGCATCATGTGTCAGGGATTAGATTTTAGTCTGTTACTTTTGTCTGTTAACTTCACACCATCCACTTCCTGCAGTGTCTGTCTAAAGTGCGTGAAGCGTTTGCTGCAGTGAAAGAAGCCCTGATGAGTGGAAATATCAACCAGGTAGCCTCAGACTTTGGATGCTGTCAAATCCCCAAGGATGCTTATGATCAGGTGATGACATGCTTTGATGGACACCAAGCTCTTGTTCACGCAGTTCTGTTCATTTTTTGCTTTTTAAAAAAATTAAATATATACTTTTTTTGTGATAACTTTCTTTTCCCACTGTATGCTGGTAATAAGCTGTTTGAACCTTTGCAATCATGTGAAAAAGAAAGCGCTGCTTTATTTTTAACCTGTCTACAGTCTTTCTGTGATAAACATAGGACAACTGTCAGGTATATTATTGCATTTTATTGCAAAGTTCAACTTGATGGTAAAATGCCAAAGCTGTAGTTGCGAGACCTTCACTGCAAAACATAATATGGTACTTGTCCAGTATAGAGTGTTGCTCTCTTGCTAAATATATGTAAACAAATATGGAGGTTAATTCAAAATGATTCATTTGCCTATCACGGCTGCCGGGGCAAGACGTGTGGTGAAGGAGGAAACGGACCCAAAATGCAGGCAGTGGACTGGTGATGAGAGAGACAGGAGGGCAACACACCTGGGAGAAATCGGAGCTGACGGGACAGGGGAAACGTAAAATGAACACACGCACATGAGACGGGGACCTTCAGAATAAAACAGGAAACTCAGACACAGAGAACCAGACATGACACTGAACTAAACAGACAGATTCACAAGCAGACAGTGTGACCAGGGCAGGCACAGAACAGAAACCTAACAAATGGCAAATCATAACAGAATACATACTCAGAATAAACAAAAGCAGAAAGAAACACAAAACACTGAGTCAGCAGACTCAGGACCATGACATTGCCTGCCTAATAAAGAGCTATGGGTCACTGAGTCCAGACTTTACTGAAGCTGGTGCTCAAAATGGGAGTCATGACATGAGGTTCAAAAACTGGAACTTAAAGCGTGTACTGTCAACAGTTCTTCTTGTGGACCGCCGTGTTAGCCATTAGGTGTTCTGTATGTACTAGCATGATCCTTTCTGAGGCCAGAAAACAGAAATGAAAAACAACAGCAACAACAAAACCCCAAAAAGCAGAAGCAGTGTGTAGAGCACACGCCATGATTTATTAGCTTGTAGAACCACTTTTAGCAGCAGTAACTTGAAGTGTCTGTTTTCTGTATGTCTTTTTCAAGCTCTCACATTGTTCTGGTGGAAGTGTGGCCCACTCTTCTTTGCAATGTTGATTCAGTTGTTTGAAGTTTGCAGGCATTTATTTATGCACAGCCCGCTTAAGGTCCCACCATAGCATTTCAATTGGACCAGTGGTCCATTCCAGCACTTTGATTATTTGCTTTTTCAACTATTCTGCTGTAGATTTGCTGCTGTGCTTGGGATCACTTTCATATTTCATAACCCATTTTCAACCAAACGTTATCTGATCTGTCACACAGATAAAGAGAAAGTAGCTTTCTGAGGAAGCAGCCCTTCCAAATAATCTCCTGATAATACCCTGATATGTAAAACCTGAACTGAAAGAGGATGCAAGCCTCCTTTACTTTTCACATTCAATATAATGTGGCCACTAAACTGCTGGCCATAGCAGTTCATGGCTTCTCCAGATCCCTGGGAAAGCTCTCTTTTTAGACCTAGCCCTGCTTTCACAGTCCAGGTCAAATGAAGAGTTTTTTAAGTAGTAGTATACATAAAGTGGGCTTAATTATGTGCCTACTTATATTGACTGCGTGTGGGCTGTCAAAGTGTTTAGGCTGGTTAACAAACACTGTACACAGATTCAACTTTTCATGTTAATCTCTTGTTACCA